GGGCTATTCTCTCTGCCTGGAGGTTTTGTTGTTGTTGTTTTTTCCTGAGATATTCTTATTTTTTTTTTCTTTTTCTTTCTCTGTACCTCCTGCAATCTTTGCTCAATGTCTTGAACTCAATGTGACTTCCATGGTCAAAACAAACTAAGTGCATTCCCAAAGAATTATGCCTCGACATAATTCACTGTCATTGGAACCTGTGACTTGTCTCTAAATCATAAAATATGAAACAGTGGTGGATGCCTCTCTGTTGACTCGGTAGCTTTGTATGCATTATGTTACACAGGATTTCATACGAGCAGCCTGGAGAAAGGAACTCTTGCTGACACTGAGGAGGCAGTCATGTTTTAAGAAAGCTCGTGAGAGGTCCACAGGGCAAGAACCTTCTGGCAGCCTCTAGACGTTGAGTGGCTCTGGCTGAAAGCCAGAAGAAAGCACACAGACGCAGTCCTACGACTACAAGGTCATGAATTCTGCCAACAATTTTAGGGAGCATGAAAAATGATACTTTTAGTTCCTAGAGAAGCTTCTAGATGAAAAAACCCCCAGAAAATACCTTTACTGAACAAAGGACACACTGACATACTGACCCATAGAAACAAATTCTTGATAAATGTGTGCTATTTTAAGAAAATGAATTTGGAATTATTTATCACAAAAACTTTGAAAATCAGTAAGTTTTCTCTAACTACTGTATTTAAAATAGTTGTCTTTTTTTTAGCCACATGCCCGGCAGCCCAATCTGTTTAATCTACATGGATTTTCACTATTATGTCATGTAACTAACACATTTATGGGTTCTTAAGTCTGTCTCTCTCAATTATGATGAAAATATCAAAAGAAAAGTACCTTTTTTTCTTCTTTAATACAATTATATCAATGGTGATTGGAATAGCATCTAACAAAAATTGAACACTCAGTTAAAGATAAGTGAGTGTATGTATCACAGCCACGTCAGCCAGCCCTGAAGAGTTAGACAACTTGACTGACATGGAACAGAATAAATACAGGACATAAATCACAGGGCATGTTCCAGGAAATCATGATTCTATTGATTGTTTTACCACTTGCAGCAATGATGGAAAAGTCTAAAAGTGGCTTAGCTTCAGTTTTATCATTTCCAAATATGAATAATAATGCAGGCCTTGTATCCTATGCTATTTTTAAACTCAAGGTAGTATATAGAATATACTTAAAACATTTTAAGGAGCAGTGTCAATTCTAAATAAAGAAATGAAGAGGGTACATATGTATGTATGGAAGACTTGTAGTTACTATCAAGTTAAAAATTAAGAATGACACTATCAAGCACATGGTGTGGTACATACACTTATACACATTGAAAGGAGCATAAAAATAATGTAAATTTCTGGAGTGCTGTTTGTGAAACAATAAAGCTTCAAAAAGATCATATAGAAGTATTTTATTGCAGGATTTCAACTTGTGGGAACCAGTGGTGTGATTGCACAGTTACATGGAAATAAAGATGATTATAAAAATTTGATATTAAATAGTAAAGCAGTGTAGCTGACCTACAAGGTTAAGGACAAACTGATAAATAGTCTGACATAAAGTAATAGAGTTTCTTTTGTTGTTCAGAATGTATTCTTTTTCTCCTTCCCTGTTATATATATTATATATATAACTGTTATATATAATATATTATATATATTATTTACATTATATATAACTGTTATATATATTATAACAGTTACATATTTATAATCAGTTGATTACTGATTAGTCAGTCTCTCAGCTTCATCTGCTAATCTGTGACTGGGTTCATCTGACCCTTCCAACTTCATGGGTTTCCTGAGAATGTGTCCGAAAATTAACCTTGATTTGTCCTGTCTTGCTCTGACCTTTATAGAGTAAGTCAGTGAGGAAATGGAATAGGGCTTCTATGAGGCTGTCACTCCAAGGAGTGCTGGCTCTCTTCACCTTGTTATTTGCTAATTGCATATTCCACTGTCCAATCCTTGCTGACTAACATTTCTGTCGTGACATTTTCCACTAAGATTTTTTCTTGGAGTAATCCTCAATAAATTTTTGAGGAAACCTTATCCCTGATATTTCCAAAAACTCATAGGTATTACCTTATGTATTTATTTGTGTGGAAATTAAGTTACATTATATTATCTGAAGCTCTCAAACAAATGCACTTGACTTTTGTTAGTTTATTCTCTCTACTCCCTAGAGACAATATTGAATTTATGCTACAGAAAATTACAGGAAGTGATATTAAAAATTGTGAATTCTAGGCTTAACACTCTCCAAAGTTCCTTCAGATCAATGTGCTCTGCAGCTGATCACTAAAACATTAGGTGAACTGGTCAACCTTGATATCAAGAAGTCCAAGCCTAAGAAAAGTATATGCCCTTTTATGACTGAGAGTTGTAAGAATGCTGAGATGTAGCTTACTGTTTCATCTGGACACTCAAAACAAGACTGAGATTATGTGCTTTAGACAAACACAGTTATCTTTGTCAGCCATGGGCAACAGGCAGTTATATTGCAGAGAGTACAACAGGCATATGGTAACTAATTGACTCCTTGACATTCAGCTACTCCATCAATGGAAACAGAATAATTCAATCATAATGTCTAATTTGAAAGAAGAATTAGTAAAAGTCCTGGCACTTTATATAACTGCTTCAAAAATGAAGACTTTGCTTTTCACTTAAAGCATTGCACTTTGATCTTTTTAATAAAATTTAAGCCCATTTTTTCACTTTATGTTACTATATGTAACTTATTTATTATATCTGTATATATAAGTTAACTTTTATGCTAAGTATTTTTTTTAAATAGTAAAGCTTATCTTTCTTGTTTGTTGCTTCCCATATACCAAAGTTATCATTATCAAGTAATATCTATGCCTGTTAAAATAAAGCTATGTAGACATAAATATACAGTAATGAAGTCTTCTTTCATTGATCAGCTCTTTCATTGATATTGCAGCTTATGTTTTTCCTTATTTCCCTTGGTGCCTTAATTCTGTGAAATATTTATTTTAGGACACTTTACCTCTATTTCCTTTCACATTTTCCTTTAGCGACCTTCTTCTAGCACCCAAACTATTTGCCTCTCTGGATTGGTTATCTTGTTCTTGTAAAGGCAGGCAGCAGTTCTCAGTATGGGAAATATAGGAGACAGATTTGATAGATAGGAGGAGACTTGTGGTCCGGCTAGATCATATCACTCATTATTCTCATCAATTCTGCATGTGCACTACACTGCTCATATTTTGTACATGAAGTTTGTTTGAATACGTGGGTTCCTATTTCTATTTGTGCAGAATGGTTTGTGTTCTGAAATCCTCTCCTTCACCCAATATCTAAGCTTTCTTCTTTGGGCTAATTCGATGCATTGTTGAAGACTCAACTCAGCTCTCACTTCCCAGTCTTCCTTGGTATTTGTTGAACATCCCTGCCTGTCCTTCTGTGGACCTGTAAGAATAACCCAATTCATGACATATTTTGCTAGATGTGTTCACTCCCTGTTTGTGTAAAATGCACATACACATACAAATTCATACACACACGTTTGTCCACAAGCATCTTCACAGACAAAATCACTGACAATGAAACTAATTTTTAAAACTCCCAACCTTTTAATGGAGTGATTATTGCTAGCATCCATAATTGCCTTTTGAATGAAAATACAATTGAACAAGACTCTTCATTACTAAAATTGAGATGTTAAAAATTTCTTGATCTATTATACTTTAATTCTGGATCTGCTTTTAAGATCAAACAATATAATTCATATCTTAAAATTGTGGCTACTTTGAAAGCTCATAGCAATGTAATAATATCAAAGTTTATGTGACATGTGTCAAGTTTAGATATTTATGAAATGGTCTATCTTTCATCTAAATTCTGTGCTGGAAAAATTCCTATGAAAGTATGTCAGTCCAAAAGAGCATTCTTAAAATATCTTTGTATAATTAGAATTATTCTAGATGTAATCACTACATACAGATAAATAACAGAAATATGTAACTATATGCACATATCTTCTCATTAATGATAAAACTCATTAATTAAACTGTTAGATATCACTTGAATCTGATGCTATGTATATATTATATAGCTTAAGATATATGATGCTATATAAATGAAATTAAAGACACAATTCAGTAGAGAATGCTACTTTGTATTTCTTATATATCACAATTACCTAACTATATAAACTACTGAGAAAAAAATACTACTTTAATAATTCTTACTATCTTTATATTGTTTCCATGACAGACCACAGTGAAAAATTTGTGGTATGGGACAAGTTTGATGTCCTTTAAATGATAACACACTTGATTGCTTGTTAATTCCACTTAAGTCTGTATGCTTTATTTCTGGCCTTCAACCCCAAAAATAAGATCCTCTGATACATTGGAAAAATAATATCCATAATAACAATAATTTCACAAAAAATAATACAAATTTTCTCCCACAGTCATAAATTATTTGGGGAATGTGCCTGACATTTGAGAGAATGGATTATTTTAAATCATTCCCATACAGAACATTTGCATAATGGAGTAATATAAGACGATTTCTCTTACAATAATGTGAAAATGGGCAGAGAACTTCCTTGTATAGAATATAGCAAAGTATGAGAGATTTTATCAAATATAACTGGAATACACAGGTCACCTGAACTAGTTTGAAACTTAGTGGTTTATAAGACTTTAAGGCATTATCTGAATTAGGCAGAGAAACCTAGCAGACAACAATCAATAAAAAGAGATAAATTTTTCAATATCAATTTACCTCAGGCCTAGATATATCTTTCACTATTTTGTAAGAATGTGCTTTGGCATTTTCACAAGACAAAGTGGAAGAAACTACTTCTGTTAGCAGAGAGTTTTCATGCATGCTTTGTTTTTCCTGGATGAGGACAAAGACTGTGTGTTTGAAAATTCCAGCAACAACAATGGAACTTTAAAAGTGCCAAAGACTCAAAAACTACTCATCATTTTCATATCTTTTTAATAGAGGCTCAAAGAACTGAAACAAAGGGAATTTGCTCGAAACGTAGCATCTAAGTCCAGGAAGGATGAAAGAAAGCAGGAAAAGGCCCTCCAACGCCTGCACAAGCTGGCCGAGCTGAGGAAGGAAACTGTGTGGTGAGTGAGCGATGAAATGTTAACTTTTCCTAGAATATGACGAAAAAGGGCCGGGGGAGTTGGAAATAAAGGGCACCAATCTATTTATTTCTGTACCCAGAGTAAAACACACATGTTTTCATGGCCTTCTGTAGGCTGTAAATAGTAATTCGAATTTAAATTTTATGCAAACACCTGTTTAATGCACATTTCAGTAAAAAGCTAAAATTACTATAATTTTAGTTTGCAAAAACTAAATTTCTCACTATGCTGCCCCTAAGCTATCTTCACTGAAAGGTATCCCCTGTCTTAGTGAAATTCAAAATTGAAGAAGAGAGCAAGGCAATGTCTTATCTTAGAACCTTTATTGCCTTAGAACTTTTGTTGCAGAAGAAGTTTTAAGAGGAATTTATTTTAAATGAAAATTTTATTTAAAAATACCTTTCAAAATTAAAACAAAGAGCAGGAGGATGTTGTGTACATCTGAAGCAATTCAAAATTAGCTCAATGATGAATGAAAGTAGACCGTTAGAATTTCACAGCTGTGTGTGTGTATGTGTGTGTGAGAGAGAGAGGGAGAGAGAGAGAGAGTCTAGACTGCCCTTGAATTTTTATTGTACTCCTATTGCCTCAGGCTCCAAGGGCTGGGATAGTGGCATGCACCACTATGTCTCTGCAGAGGTTCATAACTCTCAAAAGTTGACCTGTTTCTCACAAGCATGGCAATTATATTGAAATAAAACCACTTTTTAAAGTGTACTTTTTCCTCTCTAAGTAAAACCTCTCATTCTTATCTGTATCAAAATTATTTTATATCAAATCTATTTTATACTGAAAAGTGTTATGGGATACATTGACCTATCAAAACATATCAAAAAATGTTATGGGATGTACTGACATCTTTTTAGGGATGCCAAAAGTTGACAATATCAAAGTGAAATTTAAATGAATTTGGAGTGCTATTTGGAACTGTTATACAAATTAATATAACTGCTATTTAATTATACTAACCAGATACACTAACCCTATGGAAACAAATAGAAAATTGTCCAAGTACAGGTTAATGCTATAGAGAATCCTAGGACCTATGGACCTTAATGTTCTAGAAGTAGCATTTGAAGATATATTAAGAGAGATAGAGCTAACAATGTATGTACAAAAAAGAATATGTACTTCTTACCTAAATCACTATTCTTAGTACAGAGTACCTATTTCACTTAACACACACACACACACACACACACACACACACACACAATTTCCCATCAATTCTCTGCCTCTAAAAATGTGCAGACAGAAAATGGTGCTGTTACTTAGTAGCAGATAAGGCAAGGGATCAGCACATTGTATTTGTAATTACATAAAGAAAATATTCAAAGAAAAATGCTTGGGCATTTATAACTTATACAGTACTGAATTTTAAGATAGAATGGAAAATTCTGTACAAGATAATTCTATTGTGGTACAGAGACGATTTAGGGATTTTCTACATTTATGTACTGAATGGTGTAGTTTTTTAATTCAGAAATTTTATAGTATACTGTAATGCAACATAATTATAATTGAGATCTGAAAGTACTTTTATCCTGAGTTACTGTATTTTATGATATAATTTACACATTCAGTATAACATTAAATATTGAGCCTAGCATTTCTAAAAGACAGGACCTTCTCACCCAGCTAATCCCAACTCTTAGACATCGTTTTATGACAGCAAAACACTTAGACCGAGTAAGGTAGACTCTCGGGGAATGTTGGTTGCGTGAATATTGGGTGAACTGAAAGGTTGAACTAAATTGCCAGCCTTTGTAAGGTCATGATGGAATTTCAATTTTCAATTTCATTCATATTTTTCACATGTCATCAACGATACCAACTATTTATGTTAAAAGTGGCTTTGCCTTAGAGAATTTTAAAACACTCCAAACTGTCACTGAAGATGGCTGGAGATTAAAAAGCAAAACAAAATAAAACAAAAGTAGCCAAGAAGCACAGGTTTGAGAGCACAGGTAGGTCCTATGCATGTTTACAAATGTTGAGGCAATTATCTTTAAATTAGCTCAAAAAATAACCAAGAGCAAAATGATACAGTGCCATTATACAAACCATTTGCACCACAGTAAAATAAATTTTCTTGCAAAGATGAAAACTTAAAAAAATCCCAAAAACTTAGTGGCATTTTTAGCTATAAGTGCGTGATTATTTTTCCTCCGGAGTGTTGAATTTAACATCCACTTGGGTTTCTTTTCGTAGCGCTCCTGGAAGTGGCCCCATGTTCAAGTCAACAACTGTTACTGTGAGAGAAAATGGTAATGAAATTTCCCAAAGTGTTGTGGATTCAGTTAATAACCAGCAAGATTCTAAATGTACTCTGATTCATAGCGAAGAGCATACTAAAGATGTCACCAGAGTTGTTGCAGATTCTGAAAACACAAAGTGGACATCAAAAAGCAACCCACTTGGGGACCAAGCCCAGGGAATTCACAGACACAAGATTGGCTTTTCTTTTGCATTTCCAAAGAAAGCATTGGTAAAGCTGGAGTCCTCCGCATCGGCCTTCTCAGAAAGCAGTGATGATGCCTCAGTGGGAAAAGAATTTAGCAGAAAAAGCAGGTTTGTTCCCAGTGCCTGTCATCTACAGCAGTCTTCACCAACAGATGCTCTCTTGAGTTCTGAGGAGAAAGCTAACTCACCTCACCCAGCAGAGGCAACGAGCACTGCCAAAGAAACTGCTCAAACTCAAGAGATGAAAGACGTCTCTGGTGAAAAGGATGTGCTTTTATTACCTTCATTTTGCCAGGTACAACTCCCTTTATGTTCGGATGTAGACAACTGCAAAACTTCACTCCCATTAGCAGATCAAATCTCACTGGAAGATATTATTGTCGGTGAAGCGGTACCTATAAGCGGTAATAGTTCTGAGTTGTTAGAGAATAGATCTACAATTGCTGATATGTCTAATGATTGTGTATCTGTGCAGACTCCTGCAGAAGAAAATGTTAAGAATAATGATGCATCCACCATTGAAACTGAAAATAAAAATGGTATGGAGATGCTGGCCCCTACAAATACTGAAGTGGATAACATAACCTTACCTAAAAAAATGGATCTATATAAAAGACAGTCTGAGCCATTCGTCCCTGTGCTTAATAAACATGGATCCACAGTTCTGCCATGGCCAGCAGAAATGCTGGTTTACACAAGGACAGAACCATCCATTTCCTATAGCTGTAATCCTCTCTGTTTTGACTTCAAGTCCACTACATTAAAAAATAATCCTGATAAAAATAAGCTGTCTATAAACAGTCCTTGTTCTCAGCAGAAGGAAGAGGACGTTTGCAAGCAACCAGCTTCAGACTGCAAGGACCTGTCTGTGGCAGGATTCACAGACTGTGACGCTGGTGGCACAGAAAATGAATTCAGCCAGATTGCTCCTGTTTTGCCCATCAATACTCTCTCCAATATATGTGACTCTGGAAAAAGTGACAGTATGGGTCAGAGCCCTAGAAATATTTCCTGTAGAATGAGGAAAACAGAAAAATACAACTTCACTAAGAATCACATAAAGCAAGACTGTGTAGATGAGAAATACAGCAAAATAAGGTTGAAGGAGACTCATGAACGTTGGTTCCATAAAAGTAGAAGAAAGAAAAAAAAGAAGTTCTGTCAGCATCATCACCACGGGGAGAAAACCAAAGAAGAAACTCACTGCAAAATGGAAATGGAAGATAGTGCCACTGATACAACTAGGAAAAATGTATTGGAAACAATTTCAGAAAAACAGTGTTCAGCTGCAGAGAAATTATTAGACTCACATCATTTACCTGATAAAAGGCCTAAGTCAGCATCTGAATACTTAGGTGAAAATGAAGAAATGTGTAACATCTGGAAGACTGACTACAGTACTAGCAATACCATCAGTTCTAAAAACTACTGCAAAAAGAACACAATGCTTTTCAATGGACAATCAAATCCAACAATGATACCTTCTGGGAAGCAGAACTTAACATATTCCAGAGCTTACTGTTGTTGGAAAGCCAGACTGTCAAGCTATAGTCAGGACGGAAGATTCTTACTTCCTCAAAACGACACAAAATGCGTGAGTCGGAATCAGCCTGTTAAAAGAGGTTACAATTCTCTCATGAATGAATCAGAACGATTCCACAGAAAACGCAGACAACATTCGCATTCTTACTCTTCCGATGAAAGTTTAAATAGACAGCATTATTTACCGGAAGAATTCTTGAGGTCAGCAAGTGCTTCCTTTGCTCCCTGTAAGCCTAAAAAGAAACGAAGAAGGAAAAGAAGCAGATTTCACATGGGAGGTGAAACTTTGGATGTTAATGAAAGTGCAGATTATTCCATGGAAAGGAGTCCTTCTTTAAATCACCTGGGCGGGTCCATAAGTGAAAACAAAAAGGAAGGAATAAAACCACAAGAAGTTGCAAAGGCTGAGAGGAACTCGGAACAAACAGTCCAAGAAGACAAATTGGCTTTAGAGCCTAGCAACGTCCTTCCGTCTGAAAGCAGTGGTGCAGCTGAGCATTTAGTGATGGAGACCAATTCTGAAGAATGGTCAGAGGTTTCCAGCGATCCTGCCACATCTGTGCATGTAGTTCATCCCCCAACAAAAGAAACAAACGACACCGCCCCTCTTGAACACCAAGAAAGAAGTGAGACTACAAATATTAATGAAAAGCCAATTCCTTTCAAGGTGACTCATATTGAAAGGAACTATAGGCAGTCTCAGCCTAAATCCTACCTTTGCCACTACGAACTGTCCGAGACCCTTCCCCAAGGTAAGATGAACGAGGCCCCCAGAGAGTGGCTGTGTTACAATTCAGGACTCCTTAACACACAACCACCGTTACCATTCAAGGAAGCACATGTCAGCGGTCATACATTCATTACAACCGAGCAAATTCTGGCTCCGTTAGCATTACCAGAGCAAGCATTATTGATTCCACTGGAAAACCACGAAAAATTCAAAAACCTACCTTGTGAGGTCTACCAGCACATTATACAGCCCAACGTGCTGGCCAACAAGGTCAAACTCAGCTTTTCCCCAGCTCCCCTCCCAACCCCAGCCACACCTCTGCCGCCTCTGCCTCTGCAGCCGCCTTTGTGTTCTACCTCTGTAACCACCATCCACCACACTGTTTTGCAGCAGCATGCAGCGGCTGCTGCAGCTGCCGCCGCAGCGGCCGCTACAGGAACCTTTAAAGTGCTTCAGCCACACCAACAGTTTCTCTCCCAAGTCCCAGCTCTCTCCAGAACATCTATACCTCAGATCTCAGTGGGACCAGTCGGACCCAGGCTTTGCCCTGGGAGCCAGCCCACCTTTGTAGCTCCTCCTCAGATGCCGATCCTTCCGGCCTCAGTTCTCCATCCTGGTCACCTGACTTTTCCACCCCTACCCCATGCACTCTTTCCTTCTCTGCTTTCTCCACATCCGACTGTCATCCCTCTGCAGCCGCTCTTCTAGTCTTCACCATCACGCTGAAAGCAAATGCTCGTGTGGAAACTCTAGCTCTCTGAGTAGGTGTTCCGCCAACCAATACCTGGCCATTCAGTCGATGGAAATAAACTGGCCTAAGTATGGCCTCAGTGATTTCAAATCACTCGCTGTAAGTTTAACGATGCAAATAAATTCTTATGTTACGGATATATAATATTGTTAAAGCACTAAATAGTTTGAAAATCAACACAATATATGCTGTATATTAAAATGATGTCTTAAGAGTATGTATAATGTACATAAACTATATTTATAGTAATGTAATTTATGTTGTAAAGTATGCTCCTTGGTTCTTTTCTAATCTTTGTGTATTTGCATCTATTTAATGTTTAGACAAAGCTGAGGGCACTATGTTTTGTACCATGTTCCTGGAAACTGTAAATTCTGTGAAAAAATACCTTGCAATAAATTTTTGTTAACTATTTAAGTAAAGTAAACTTTTGCTTTCAGGTGGTGTTCACTGTCTTTAGGAGTGTGAGTCACTGTTCATGTTGTGTCTGTGATGTTTCTTTTACTCATTGAAATTTCTGACTCGCCAAGGCCCTGATCCGTCAGCACTTAGATGCCATTATCTATCAGAATAAGTATAACAGAGGGCATATTTGTTCCTTCATTCATTCAGCTATTGCTTATATGAAGAATTTATTGTATTTTATGCCCTCTAATTATACAATAAGCCATGGAAATGTGGGTCACAATAATGATAGTGTTGGAAGGGATAATAACTCATACATATGCAAAATCTATAGCATTCCCCCAGCCAGTTCTAAGTGAAATATGACAAATAACCAATGTTAGTGTACCTATTACATTTTGAATATTAAAACTTTCAAATTTGTTTTGTTCACTTTCAAGTGCTATGGAATATATACATACATGTGTTATTGGCATAAATTAAGAAATAGGTTTAATTTTTAGTCACTATTCAATAAAATGTTGGCAAATATGTTATGTAATTATAGTCTTAACTGAGCATCTAGAAGTGGGATGGAGAGTTTACAGCCCGTCCTTCTGATAAATTTTCTAACACTCAAGATGCATCATATTTTTCATTCTGCCCAGAGCACTTAGCATGGCCCTTTATCAAGCTTTCAGATCCTGCTGTAATTTTAATAATCTCTGTATTATTGTTTATTCAAAGGCTTCTGCATGTAACAAAGCAGTGACATGAGCAGCTATTCAATAGAAAGCTTGAGAATAGCACACTTTTCCAAGGCAGTTTGAAATAATCACCTGCTCCTGTCCATGACATTTGTCAAGACAAAAATCTGTGTTCCTGTTGGAGTGGATTCATCTCACCAAAACGAATGTTACGGGATTCTGTCAGCCTTGTGGTGCATCTAGGCAGCAGGAAGCCCAAAGTCATCCTCCAAAGGGAGAGCCACACTGTAGTTGTGTGTTCTGAGATTTTATTTCACATGGTTACCAGAGGAATTGAATTACATCAAATAATTTAAAGCAAAAATATATCTTCCCATATCATAAAATTCAGGATTCAATTCTGTTTCAAGAAATAAGAGAAAATTCTAGACCTTTCATTTTCACAACTAGTTACCATAAAGTTGATATAAATATATTCCCCCAAATTGGTTGAAAATGACTAAAGATAACAGTTTATGAGTCAAAGGAAGATAAAAATAGTAAGGAAACAATTGTATTTCAAATGTTCAGAGATAATAATATGTCCCCAAAATGGAACTAAAATTGAAACACATGATTTATCCCCAAGCAAAATGTTTCAACTAAATTTGAAGATAAAGTCAATGGAGCAATCTACCAGGGAACGCTGACCCACTTTGTTGTAATCTGTCAGAGCAGAGTTGCTCTTTTGGCTGTTAAGAAAAATACCAAGTGTTTGACTTTAAAGTATGCAAATTTTCTTTCTTCTTTTCATCTTCTTCTATCACATTGCTGGTTCTTTTCTCACCTCTTGTTTTTATACTGAAATTACTTTTTTTCCTGATCTTTTCCTTCTTAATTTCTCTTAGGCATTATCTGTGTATAGGAGTCTTTTACCCTTGCTCCACGTTGTCATTTTTTTTTTTTTCAAATTATGTCGCTCTCAGAATTTTGCTGTTATTGTTAAATGACATGGTCAGGCATGCTTCACATTTTTTTAGTGATTTTTTATTTTAAAATTTTTTTAAAATCTAGCAAAACAACAATGAAGACAAAATCAAAACAACAAAGACTACATATGACCTCAAAACTAAATGATAGGAATTAACAGTGGTGGCTACATTACATACTGTTATCTTCAACAAAGTTACTCAGTCCACCAGACATAAGAGTGTAAGGTTGATCAAACAGTCACTTTTGATTGTAATCAAGTATACATACCTGACTGCTCAGTTTATGATGGGAATTTCTGGAAAGTGTGAAGAGAAAAAGTTCTTTGTTAAAATTAATTGAATCTGAGCATGACAGATAAATTGGTTTGTTCTCATGGATACTGCTGACAAGGCAAGAAACTTGAACCTCACATAAGCACTGTCAAAGCCATTTTGACTATAAATTCAGTACTTTCCCAAATGTTATGGACTCACAACAATGGATGATGAGATAGCTTGTTCATCTATTCTGATAACTCCAACCCTAGAATCCAGGGAATCCAAGCAATGGCCTGAAGACCAGTAGCGAGCAGAAAAATCAGAAGCGTCAGGAAAGTGCCACAAGGTGATGGAGCTGTCAGAGGAGCACTGGTCCAGCTCATTATAATGGCACCAGGAGTCAGATTATTGTAGCAGTGACACTCTGGAAGTAGTTTAGTGTGTCTCCTGAAGCCTTCTCCATAAATTGGATCCTGAAACAGAAACCCTAGTCCTTTCCAGACATTATTGTACATCCTCTATGCCATGGAAATTTAAATAAATCTAACACACATCTTACTAGGATCTCTACTTTGCTAGATACACATATTTCTTCATATACTATTCATTGTTATTCAAATGAAGGGATGGGAATATAGAATGAAATGTATCAAAGGTAAAATGTACACCACTGACAAAAATTTTACACTAAATGATAAGAAGGAAATGTTCACAATTTCATCTAGCATGCATAGGTCAATGAAATATTATCTCCACCTGCTTTCATGAGTTGAATAATTAAGATTAATTGAAACTAGGCTTAACAGCTGAGTTGATTGGTTCTCATGGCTACAGATTGGACAAGAAACTTAAACCTTAGTTCTACCTTGGACTCTCCACAGGGTACCTCAACCTGGGTATACTCCAAGTATTTTGAGCTCAAACCTCAAACTCATGACCGTACTTTAAAGGCACCAGTGAAACCTCTGTGAATACTCTTATAATGAAACCTGCTACTCAAATCATAGAATATGGTTTTTATACCTACATCAGAACACTCCTTTGAGCATTTTGACTCCATCTCCTTAAATTCCTTTCAAATGTCTCCTACTTCTCCCATTGTTCTAACCCTTATAGCCCATGAGACAATTCTATAGTAAATCCATGTCTCTGTTCTTGATCTCCTATTCTGAAAGCTCATCCCCCCCAGCACTGTCTGGACCACCTCACACAAATACAATGTTGATATGACAGTGTCCTCCTTTAAAACCTGACATGGTTCTGTCATTCTCAATATAAATATCATAGTGATTATGCTATTGCGAAATCTGTGCTTTAGTAGATAGCAGTCCCCAAACTTTCTGGCCTCCTCTGGATCAACCATTCTAACTGAAAGCTTTGTAATCTTCTTTATACTGTGTGAACAAGTTCTGTTATCTCTCAGGGTCTTCCTGCTTATACTTTTCTTTACATGGGTAATCATTAATGAGCCCAAACTCAACTTGGATGTCACTTCTTATATGAATTCTGTTCCAGGTTCTGGTTTCTCCAGATCAGATGGTTTTCCCTAATCTAACTTCATGTGACATGCCACACATACATTTTGTTATATTTTCCATGTTGAATATAAGACTTTAAATAGATTAGATGGAGCACTCCTCCATAAATGTAGTATATGAAAAATACTAAACACTCAATGATGATTTATTGAATGAGGGAATAAAATAAGTTAGGAAAGTATAATTAAAATTTACACAGGGTACATTGTGGAATTCTAGAACACTTATTCATTTGTACTTCTAAGTGGTCCTGAGCAAACTTAAATCAAACTATACATTTCCAAAAAACATAGAGATTCACAACACTCTTAAGCATTGGGAACACTTTTTACAATAAAACTGCTATTTAAAATAGAACCTTAAAACAAACAAACAAAAAAAATTGAAGGTAATTCAAACACTTCCCTTGCTCCAGAAAGAAATCACAAACTGCTGTATCTACCTCTATGTCCTTACATCTATCTACTTATCTACATGTTTGCCTGTTGTTTTCTGTTCTATGGTCTTCCCATCATTCTGTTAGTATTTGTCTATGCACACCAACGCATTATGTGTCAGACATGAAACCAGCTTTTGAAATTAAAGAAAATAACAGAACACAATTAGTTCATTATTAATCAGATGAGACTGAATTTGTAATCATTAAGCCTTTTCTCCACATCCTAAGTTCTGTATTCCTCAAGATTTATCTATGCTTCTTTCTTTTGCTCTCCTTACTCTCTTAGCTAAGCCCTTTTCCTTTTTTTCCTTTGGAAAGAAAGTTATACCCAAGAAGCTTTACAATAGGCTTCTAAAGGGGCTGGGGATTTAGCTCAGCTGCACAGCGCCTGCCTGGCAAGCGCAAGGTCGGGAGTTCGATTCCCGGTACCAACAACAACAACAGAAAAGAATCAATAGACTTCTTACCTTTGCTCAAAACCAAAATTGGATAAAATATCACAGCTTACTTATATCATAGAGTGAGGACTGAGATCTTGCTTAAAATGCAGCAGTAAAAAGCCTGTCTCATTGTTTCCCACAAGTCCTGTGCTCCTGAAACCTAACTCTGTCTCTGTGCTCTGCCCACCCCGTTCTGGGCTTTTGACACTTGCAAACATGAACCTTCAAATCAACCTGAGCCTGGAAGCTTCTGGTAGAAAACCAAGCATGCAAGCAGCTTTTCTGCTTGTTTATTCTCTTATACTCTTACTTTTTAAAAATTATTTTTATTGACTATACTTTTGTGGTAGTTATTGGAATATATATATATATATAATATGCTTATATATTTAATTTTTTCCTTTAGTAAAATTTTCATCTTACCTACTTCATTCTTATCTTCTTATAAATTACTTCCTAATATTTTCCATGATGTATCGCTTTTATGTATTACTATTTTCATGTTGCTGAGAATATTACATGTTTAAAATTTTTAAAAAACATCTCATATTTCAATTTAACTGAGAATACTCTGTTTACTACTACAATGTTTCATATCTGGTTTGTCTTGAGAGTCTTTTAGACTCTCTTAATAACTTTGCTGAATGTTAATTT